ATGCTATAAAAATAGTAACAGCCTATCCTTAATTTAGTGATCTGTCCTGCACACCAAATTCCAAACAGTGAACATTTTATTAGCTTTTTCCGATCATCGAAAGACTTCCCGTCACCAAAAAGCACATGCTTTTTCAAAAACAACCAACATTATTATTATTATTATTATTATTATTAGTCATGATTACAGACTGACTCTTGACGGAATCCTATATTTCCTTATTTGGTCATAGCAGAATTTTACACTTTTAACCTCAGTATTCCAAGTCTAAAAATAGCAAGCTACTTACTATATTGACGTGTGTCTTTGTGTGGTTCTTTTTGGTAGAATGAATATAATGTTACTAGATAATTTGATTTGTTTGTTTTAATATGTAAAGCATCAAAGGCAGTCATTTTACTCATTTATTTCTGACAATCAGCCTTAACCCAGTTCCTGCAGAACACAGCTTGAAGGGGACAGACGGCAGAATTTAGTGGATGAGCTTCACACACGACACAGACAACTTCAGGCATCTTTCAAAAATGAAGGCACAGAGCCAGATGTTATAAGGTATGGTATCATCTCATGAAAAAACTGCATGAAAAAGTTGTCTTTGTTTCTAATGCATCTCTAAAGAGTCTGTATACCTCTACCTCATTTCTGTATAGAACATCTCTAGTTTTCAGGAGTTTATGTGTGACTAAGGGGCTGTACAGATGGGCAAAAAGAGTGCTTTAAGGCTGACTTGGAGGCATTGCGTTTAGATGACGCACACCTAAAAGCTGGCAGGAAAGCGTCCTCTAGGCACTGCATGCTGGGAAAAGCCACTCTAAAAAGGAGCAGCTTTTCCCCGTTTCTTCCAGAAAGATGCGCACCTTCACATGTGCATAAGTATGCAGTGATACTGGTGCATCAGAAAAAGGGTGCCGGAGATTTAAAATAGCTGTATAAATGAACTGTCACACATGCGGCAGAAATTGAGTCGGCAATCCAGAGCATGCGCCCTACAATGCAGGCTTTAATTTAAAGTGCTCTATGCTTCCAGGTGTGGATGCACCATGGCAGGTGTGCTTGAATATTAGAACTCTAACCCTAACCCTAATTGTAACCCTATGCATGCACCCTAGCAACAGTTCTCTATTATGACAATAAATGCATTCCGTTGCATGTACACTTACTATCAGCATGCACAATAGTTTGCATGAAAGAGGCTTTTTTGACCTCTTCTGCGCAGGAGTGCAGGTGTGTATAAGACCTGCACATAACTTCCTGACATGATGGGGGGGGGGTTCCTGGAGTAACGTTTGTTTGTGCATCCTGTTGACCATGTCCCTTGCATGAATACCAGCTACATGTATCAAGTCTGTCCACACAAACCTCCCTTGCATGTACCTCTCCCTTCCATCGTGATCTGTGTGGGACATGTTTTGTGGAGGATGACGGAATAGGTGTCTTTTCGGTCGACAACTTCGTTCCTTCGCCCCAAAGGTGGCACAATCAGACAGTGGCACCTGTCTACAGCACCCACTACTTGAGGGAATCTGAGGTCAGTGCATCCTTGCATGATTTGTGGGTGTGTGACAGGTCCTGCGGAGGTGTGCAGGGATGCTGAACATCAGTCACCTTTGTACAGACAAAATGACAGACTGTATGCCACCCTATGACATATTCTGTACAGGTGCACAGGGATGCCGAACTTCAGTCACCTTTGTACACAGAGAGTGACAGCCTATACCAGCCTATGACATGTTCTGGGCAGGTGTGCAGGGATGTGTTCCCATGCACGTGTGCATGTGTCTGAAAGAATGAAAAAAAAATTAAAGCAGCTGCTGCTGGCCCATGCAGTTGATCCGTCTCCCTTAGTGGCATCCTCGAGCTGTCGGTGCTGTTGGCAGGGCTTCAGTACGGCCTAGGAAACGCTGCACTGACTGCCCCCCCAGTGTGGTTGCTCTGTTCTCATTTAGGGCATCCTCGAGGCAGGTGATGCAGTTGCTTGCAGCTTAGGGAAAAGGCAGATTCATGTCACCTTTTCCTGCCCATCTGTACAGCCCCTACGTTTTGCTGTTCTTCATGGTAGCTATATTTATGCCTTCTTTGAGCAGCTTGATTAGTTCTCATGATAGTCACAGCTGAGGAGTCTAGTGACTGTGTGTTGTTCACTGCAACACTCTTGGAGCTGCTGTTACTGATTCTTAGATTATAGGCTTGCAAAAATTAAGTATTAAATGATGATTTAATAATTAGGACAAATTTGAGATGGAAATATCATCAGAGCCAGTGGAATAAAGGGCTGAAGTTAGTTGTGATCTAAATCAGGAGTGGGGAACCTATGGCTTGCCATATGTTGTTGAAATGTTGCATCCCTCACTGTTAGCTCTGCTGAATGGAACTGATGAAGTTCAGCATCATCTGAATGATTGTTACCCACTGAGTTGAAAAGATTTCGAATCAGTCAGCCAAAGCAGGCTTAAGCAGAACTGAATTAAAGATGGGCACACAAGTCACACAAGTCAGGACTTTTAGAAGTAACAACTATGGAAAGGTTGATTTAGATCAAAGAGCGAAGAATTTAAATGCAGTCAAGAAAGTAAGGGCCTCTACAGACTGCCAAAAATAATGCAGCTTGGCTCAGTACTAGGGAATCATGGGAATTATATTTTTTTTCTGGGACATTGAGCCTTCTATGTCAGAGAGCTCTGGTGCCACAATAAACTATAGTTTCCATGATTCCATAGCACTGAGCCAAGACAGTTAAAGTGGCTTCAAGCAGCATTATTTCTGGCAGTCTGTAAAGGCCATAAGACAACAATAAGAAGGGAAGCAGGACGGAGGGGGAAAATGAGCAGATATGTAGTATGATCCAGAGCTATAGATGGTTTGCCATTTGGAATTTACCAGCTGTATTTCCTTTGTCTTGACTGTGTTGTTGCTCTCAGTTAACTGACTATGAGTGCCTGTGGCGAATTGTGCCTTAAAGCCAATTACAGTGGAATTTTAGAAGGATAAAGTTGTTGGTATTATAGGGGAGGCAAATAAGTGAACAATGTAATTTTTGTGTTGTAAATAGCTTACTGCATCTTGTAGGGATATGAGATGTTTGCATTTTGATTTGCCGTACATTTTAAAGTTGTTTCCACATGCCCTGAACTAAATAAATAGGAAGTAATAGAAATGTTATATTGGGGACAGTTTGGATTTGATAAGATGACTTGGTTTTTCAGAATTTTGAAATTGTTTCAGCATATGAAATTGTTGCAGCATTGTTGTAAGCAATATATTTTAATTGGGGAAGATAAATTATGAATTGTATTTCAGGAAGAAAACTGGAAGAATATCTAATCAATTATTTGTAATCCCTGCATACATGGGACAGATTCTATCATTTCTGTATGCTGCCTTATGCATTTAGCTAGTTTAAATGAGCATGAAAAACCAGCCAGACCATGGCTTCCATGCTGATGGCTTGTCTGAGCAATGCAGCAATAGCACAAATTTATGCAATATTTTCTTGAATTTTCTTTTCCTCAGTGACATATTTTGAATCAATACTGCTGAACTGCCAGCAGGGGGGAGTATATTGTCCTTACTTTTCTGAAGCAAAAATAAACTGGTTATATTAAACTTGGACATGTTTTGCCAAAAAAATAGTTACAGACTACAGGTAATTGGCTGTGATTACCTCTTGAGCAGATTTAAAGCAATTAAAAAAATCTTGTCTAGCATTTTGAAAAAAGCTACTTCATCTTTTCCATCATGGATGGATCTGCATCCCTTTTCCGCTGGATATTGGATTTCTAGATATTTTAAATTTTCTGTTCTTTCATGGCCATACGTTTTTATATAATTCCCTTTTCAGAGTTGAGTGTTCATCTGTGTGTGTGTGTGTGAGAGAGAGAGATAGTTTGTGGCTTCATGATGATTCATTTTGAGTATGTGAACAGCCATGATCATTCCCTCTCCCAGTATGTGTATGTTTGTACCACCTTTCTTTCTTTTGTGATTGATCCTTAAAGTACATCTCACATTTTAAGAAGTCTGTCCCATGCCCCCTCCCACCTTCAGTCATCCCCTTCATTAACCTTCTTGCATCAGTGATCACATGTCTTTTTGTCTTCATGGTGTCCAGTTGTGAAGGCATTCTTAAAATTAATCTCTGTATATGTTTGGTCACCACTCAGTGATTTTATGTCCTTTGAAATCTGCTTTAATGTGAGTTCTCTTGGTGTGGTACAGTGGCCTTAGTGCTTATAATTCTTATTTTAAGTGACAACTTGGGCTACAATGCAGATCAGGGCATTGCTTTGTGTGGCACCAAAGTAGTTTAGCATCCGGCATTGTCAGCCTTAATTAAGGCACAGCTCTCAATAACCAAAAGAGTTCATGTTTTTGCATAGTGGCCTTAATAGGTTTATTCCTCTCTAATCAAAACATTTTCTGTTTGTTAATTATGTAATTTGCTAGTGTCCTCTATTATAGTTTTGGATATTGTGGGTCTGTGTAGGAGTGTTGAATACATAAACCATCCAGATGTATTCTTAAAGTGCAAAGATGAAATGTTTGTGTGAGGTGTTAATAGTGCCCAGCATTCTAATATATTTCTTTGCATCAGTGGTGCCAAAGGGAAAGATGAAGCTTTAGTTGGACTTTTGAATGAAGCCATAATAAACGGAGATTAACATTGTATATATAGCAATGTAGTAGTACAGTGTGAGTTGCCGTTATTTATCACAGCAGTTCCCATAGCCACAGAGTCCAAAAATGTAGGCTGCTATGTTGTTGCTATGTTGTTCCATATCAGCAAACCACATCTAGCAAGTTTCATCTAAAGTTTACACTGAAAGTAAATCTTTTGTAAGACTTGTTGTTGTTGTTGAGTGCCTTCAACTCATTTCTGAGTTATGGTGATCCTATCATTGCTTCTTCTTTTTTTGGCAAGATATGTTCAGATAGGGGTTTGCCTTTGCTTCTCCTGAGGCTGAGAAAGTGTGACTTGCCCAAAGTCACCCAGCAGGTTTCCATGGCATAGCAGGGATTTGAACCATGGTGTCCAGAGTCATAGTCTTAGTCCAATGCTCAAACCACTACACCACACTGCCTAACTTGCAAGGTTGATAGATGTTAATAAAGTGATCCCCAAACATATGTAATATTTCTGGGGAAAAGTCTCCAACCATCCCCCATCCCACTCCCATTACTGTGAAGATTTCAGCTAGACCAAGAGGGAACAACTAGTAAGAGGGATATGGCAGGTGATGTCATTGCCTCCACTGATTAAAAAGTCCTGGATTGTGATCCTGTGAACCTTGGATCTACTGTATTGTTGATTCTGTTATAGGATAAGGCAAAAAGGGTTTGCCTGCTACCTTTGTGCAAAACTAAGAATCTGATGTTTTGCTAAGCATAGGAATAGAATTACATAGAAGCAATTCACAATACAATTAGAAAAGACACTACAGTGGACCCTTGTATCTCCTGGGGTTTGGTTCCTGAACACTCCCCCCCACCCACCTGTGGGTACCAAAATCTATGGCTACTCAAATCTCATTATATACAGTGACAAAGTAAAATGATGTCCCTTATATAAAACAGCAAAATCAAGGTTTGCTTTTGGGAACTTACATATATTTGGCATATTTTCAAGCCATGGATAGTTGAATCTGTGGATAAAGAATCTGTGGATGTGGAGGGCCAACTGTAATCTCCTAAACTCTCATTTCTGGCTTCCTGTGGTGGCAATTAAGGAATGTTATTGCAGAAAGCCTGTGAAATATGGAAATGCTTCCAACCTACTACCTTGTCTTATCTTTACCTTGTCTCCTTTTGCAACCTTATCTGTCCAAGGTGATATTTTTGCCAGATGAGATTCTTTCTCCCAACAAGATATCAGCCTTTGCACTGCACTCCAAGTTGGCTGGAGAGGACTTGTTACTGTTGTAAATAGGATTTTATTTTTTATTTTTTTAAAAAGTGATTCCTCTTGCAGTAATTAAGTGTGTTCCTAAATTGAAAACACAGTTAAGATCAGCCACAGTGAGGATTAAACCCACCTTCGTAGACAGTGTCATAGATCCTCCACAGAGTTGTAGAAGCCTCATTCAATGGAGCCTTGTTGAACTACCCTATATACTGTACTTGTGTAGAAGTTGACTATGTATAAGTTGAGGGCAGATTTTGGGGCCAAAATTGTGGATTTTGCTATGACCCATGGATAAGTCAAGGGTAAAACTTAGGGGCATGAGCAAAGGATCTATTCTAAAGGATGAAGCAAAGGAAAATAATGCCAAAAAAACTTACAAAATCCAGCAGACATGCTTTTGTTCATACCAACTTTGGATTGGATGGATGAAAGAATAGAGATAATAATAATAATAATTTTATTTCTTATATCCCGCCTTTTGCCTAAGCAATCAAGGTGGCTTACAAATATAAGATACAGATTAAAAACATACATTACAACAATAACAGTAATACCATAGCTCCCCTTAAAAGACTAAATACAATATTAAAATAAACATAATAAGATTAAAACAGCACACATTCTTCTTCTCTCCCTCCTGATGATGGTGGATGGAGGGAGGGCCTTCATCTTTTCCGGCTAGGCGCGATGGAGCTGGCCTGCCTTCTCTCCCTCCAGATGATGGAGGGTGGGTCAGTGCCTCCAGGAGAGATTACACTCTTGTCTTTCACCAGGGGATGGTTTCTTTTGAAAAAATAAGAGTTAAAGTACAGTACTTAGTTTGACTCATGGATAAATAAACTCAGTTTTTAGGGCTAATATTTTTACTAAATTTTCTAGACTTATACATGAGCATATACAGTAAGATGGGATTCAGTGGCTCAAGTGGTTAAGACGCTAACTCCATTGATTGCGAGATTGGCAGGTTGGCAGTTTGAGGCCCGGGTTCTGTATGATGGGGTGAACTCCCATCACTTGTCCCAGCTTCTTCCAACTTAGCATGCAAATGAAAATGCAAATAGATAAATAGGTACCAGTATGGTGTGAAGGGAAACAGCGTTCTGTGCAATTGTGCTGGCCACATGATCACAGAGTAATCTCTGACAGCACTGGCTCTTTGGTTTAGGAACGGAGATGAGCACCGCCCCCTACGGTCGCACACGACTTGACAACCTTGTCAACAGGGAATACCGTTACCTTTTAATACATTAAGTATCTTTCAGTAATGATAAAAAGTTTTATTTATAGCTACTTTTGGGTAATAAGCAGTCAGCTGTTCACATGGTGATATTGATCATGTTTTTTAAATTACATCTCTGTGTTTATATATTAAATGTTGGGAAACCTTATTCCAAGCTGTTGGGATGGAGCACTTAGATTTCACTAAGCTGGATATGTTTTGTGCTTTCAGCATGACAGATAAAATGAAAGAAACACTCCAGAGTGTAAAATGGGAATGTTTCTTGATATTACCATACATTGTGCTTAAGTGGTTTTCAAAATGGATCATTCTCATTTAATCACAGTTCGTGAATGCAAGTTGAGGTGGTGAAAACACTTCAGAAGTTATTACTGTATTGTCATATTTATAAGAGAAAATGTGGTTAATCACAGAGACCAGTGTCACATGACTTGGGTTTTGTTTCAGAAATCATTCTTGCTGATTGTTTTAGAGCTTGAAAGCCTTAATGTGTGGGCCATGGTCTAGGGAAAGGTCTGCTTGACTAATCTGTGTTACTTGGGAAATGTTATAGGAATGAACCAGTAAAACAATGCGGTTGGGAAGATAAGCTGCTGTTTGTTAAGTAGAGGCACAACCCTTGATTAGAACCCCACAACATCTTTTATATTTGGGCACATTGCTAAGCCTTTTAATTAGTTAAATCTGCTCCTATAGTCAAAAGCTATCTGCACACTCCACTGTGCTGTGACGATTTCAAAGATTTAAGTGATTAACTTGGCAAAAGCTGTGGGTGGCTAATTGGATAAGCTTTAATCTTCACACTGCCAAAATGAAACAGAGGAAGATCAGACGAAGGAGGAAGTTGGGCTCGGTTGGGTGGGAAGGGAGCTACCAAACATGTCAAAAATATTTTTTTAATACTAGCAGGTCACTTGTCACAATCAGCACCAAGAGGCCATTCCTGGGTTGCTCTCTCTCTCTCTCTCTCTGTATGCTTATTTGTATTTATATTGATCTTTACCCTGTTTTCGAAAGGCTTTATCTCATTTGAGAAATACTAAATGCAAATACTGGAACATGGGATTTGGCTGGGAAAACATTTCTTGGGGAGGGTGTGTTCGGAGTTTTCCTCCTTTGTTTCAAAGATTTGCAGTTTGGAGAGATGGGAAATAGCACAAATAATACACAGTTTCTGCTGCTTGGACCTCTTGCTCCTTATTTCCAGCATTCTTGTGGAACATAGTTCTTCTTTTCTCTTGAGGCACACTGTAATAATCTGAATAATACAAATCAGTTTTTTGAGAGCTTTTTAAGTGAAAAAAAATTGTGCAAGAAAAAATTAAATGGCTTTCATGTTCTTTATGTCATTGCAAGACTGGCATTGTTAGTGGGTGATTAACTGCATGATCTGCTTAACAATTTTCACTTCAGTATATATTTCCTGGATATTAGTGCTTAGGTTTCTTTAATGGAAATTAAAAGCTTTCCTTTTTTTTTTTATTTGTAAAGGGACCCCAAAACATTTTTGATTTCTGAAGAGGTGATGTCTATTGCAGCTAAAAAGACAAAGGATATATTAGCAGACCGAACACACCTCACGTTATGTTTGGGGCTTCCATATTTTCATATGGTCAGAACTTTTTGACAGTGGAACACACTCCCTTGGAGAGTGGTGGAGTCTCCTTCTTTGGAATTTTTTAAACAGAAGTTAAAAGGCTATCTGTCAGGCTGCTTTGATTGTGTTCCTGAATGGCAGGGGGTTGGGCTGGATGGCCCTTGAAGTCTCTTCCAACTCTATGATTCTGAGAAACATTTGATGAATGTGGAAAGAAGGGTGATGTCTTATCCAGTCCAGAGTTCTTTTGCCAAGGCAGTTTCTTCCTGAATGTAAGCTAAAGTAATATTGCAGTAATGTACCGTAATAACCGAAAGAGAATCTGCCTAATATGTGACATGCCCACTAGTGAACTAGGTTGGATATATCTGAACGGGTTGTAGTGGTGCAAGTTCTGATTTAACTGTTAGGCCTATATGTTATAGCGATGTACAGTTTCTGGAAATTTTGAAGCCATGGGGGGGGGGTGTGAACCCAGAAATCTTTTGGAAAAATAGGGAAAAAAAATGTGATCACAGCACCCTTTATATATTGAAAGTCATTTTGTTACTTTGGGAGCATAAAATGTATTTTGTATAATTAGGCTTGGCATAAATTGCCCTGTTTGATGGAATAAAATTACAATTTATTAAAAAAATATTATATATTGAATTTTTCTCTTAATTCTTTATTTCTTGTTACAAATGGAAGAGCCACACAGTGCTGACCTGTAGGGAACCTTTTAGTTTTTTTCTGTTTATTACGTGCAGCCAAAAACAATAGAATCAGAGGAAACGATCACTATTTGAAAAATGAATAAAATTATTTTGCCTCCTCAAGTTCTCTGTATGATTGTATAGATTGAAGACATTGGATTGCTCTAAAAGAAATGGGTATACCATAACTTTTGATTGCCCAGAAGCATAACCTGTACTCAGGGCAAGAGGACAGAATAGAGAAACTGAATGGATTCCATTTGGCACAGGGGTCAGTCAAGGTTGCATTTTATTACCCTGTCTAGATTGTATGCTGAACATATCATACTTAAAGCAGGCTGAGATTCAAAGGAAGGAGGTATGAAAATTGGAGGAAGGAACATCAATAATGTAAGATACTTAGGTGATACCATACCATAGCACAAAACAGCAAAGACTTGAAACAGTTACTGATGAAAATCAAGGAAGAAAGTGTGAAGGCAGGTTTACAGTTGAATATATTTTAAAAAAATGGCCACAGATGATTTACATAACTTTAAAGTAGACAAGAACAAGTCCTGATATTTATAAATAATTACTTGGAAGTAAGCTCTAACTAAGGTAATAGAGCTCATACTCATATATTCATTGTCAATAGTGAAGTAGAG